AAATTCTTTTAAACGAGACGAAAACGTCGCGAAGACGAAAACAGAGCGGTTAAATGTACTTTAATATACGAAGGGCTTCCATATGTCGGAGAATCGCAAGAAAGGACGATTATTCGCGCTTCGATAAATATCGATCAATAGTCGAATTTTTCAAATCGATTTGCTAACAAGTGTGTATTGTAATTCTGAAATTTTAAAACCTCGATTTTTCCGCTGTGTATATATCAGGTCTACCGGAAAGTTCTGTCCGTTTTTGGAATAAAACAAAATACAAATTTTTATTACCGTCAATAAACTTTATTAAATAATGTAATTGCAATTATTATTAATGATTTCTTGCCAGCGTGAGGGCAATTTGTATATCCCATTTTCGAAAAATGTTTTATCTTTTGATACGAAAAATTGAACCAGTGCTTGTTTGATATCTTCTTCATTTTTGAATTTCTCGCCCCTCAAAAAATTTTGTAAGGACAAAAACAAATGATAGTCGGAGGGTGCTAAGTCCGGGGAATATGGTGGATGCGACAGAATTCCCCAGCCTAGTTCTGCAATTTTTTGACGAGTCCCCAAAGCAGCATGTGGCCTAGCATTATCATGATGCAGTATGATGTTCCTCCTATTGAACATCGCCGGCCTCTTTTCTTGGACTGCTATATTTAAATTATCCAGTTGCTGACAATACTTCTCCGAATAATGGCAATTACATTATTTAATAAAGTTTATTGACGGTAATAAAAATTTGTATTTTGTTTTATTCCAAAAACGGACAGAACTTTCCGGTAGACCTAATATATTCACTTGTTTGCACGTTATGTTCTCACCTTCTCAAGATGAAATATTATTCGGTCTATTTAGATTTTAGATTTTAGCATCAATTAATTTTTATTACAATGCATCAAATCTAATAGATATTTCATCAAATTTCAAAAAGAAGAAAAAGGTCTATTTATTTCACACGTTTTTACGATTTTATATGTAATTTTTTATCTATATATAAAGATAGCCTCCCCCCCTCGTCTCTTCGTATAAAAACCGATTACGCGAAATAATATTGATGTTAAGTTGAGTGGTTGTCAACCATTAGCATATGTTATAACGCGATTGATTTATTGGTACCGAATTAAATTCGTCGCAGCTACATCCTGTACGAATATATTCTAGAGCAAGCTCCGATGCTATTGACAATCTGGTTAATCGCGTGTATCGAAATCGCGCTTTATCTGATCTTATCTGATAATCCGCTGCACATTACATAGCAACTTAGGAAAATCAACAAAACCCGATAGCTACTACGGCGAATGCTGACGCACGCGCAACCTTGTAGCCAGAGAGATGAAATAAATTCCTAATGAAGATCGACTGGAACAGTTCGCACCACCTTATCACGACCATGAAAAGTGCGAACCTGTGTTTGTAAAATATACACGAAGATACAGTCGATACTTTCCACAAAAGCTAGGAACTCGATATCTAATGTAATCGATTCTAATGCTGTTTTGGGGAAAAATATTTTTTCCCGACCTATCAAATATACTGTAGAATAAAATATATAAATGTCAAGAGATTAAAGAATTTCTTAATTGTTAAAAAACTTTGTGAAGACGTCTAAATCATATTCCGTGACCTGTTTTCAGGCATTTCCTTAATCTCGTAAAAACACATAAATCACAATTTTTCAAATGTCCTTTAGAAATCTGAGGGGCAGTCTAATTCAAACTTTTTTTTTAAATATTTCTAAAATCTATTCAAAAAAACTTCAAAAATTTTTCAAGTTTCTGGACATATTTGTTAGATGTATTTTTATGTGTTGGTTGAAACATAATACATATACATATATACGAAATCGTGCATGCAGGTCAAATCCTAAAAGAACATCTACCGTATTTAGTCTAGAAATATCAAAAGGATATGGGTTAGTGATAAGCGCGAGACACCAGTTGCGCGGTCGTGTGGTCTGGTCGAGATATCTAAGAGCAATTGGAACGAAACCTGGATAGGGTAGATCCTCCCCCTCCTCCTCATCCTCGTTATCCTCATCGTCGTCGTCGTCGTCGTCGTCGTCGTCGTCGTCATCGTCGTCGTCGTCGTCGTCGTCGTCGTCGTCGTTTTCGTCATCCTCATCTTCGTCTTCTTCCTCTTCCTCCACGACTACTCGTCTTTCAGCGGATTCGCGAGCCTCATCCTCGTCCTCGTCATCTTCGAAGTCGCTGAGCTCCGCCACGTCGCTATCGGAGCCCTGTTCCCCTCCGGCTCCGATTCCGCCGCCTGTCTTTGACGCGGATCGGTACCGGTATCCTTGAGGATAATGCAACGACATCCTCGGAATCCCTGTTTCTTTCGAGCGTGACGTTTTCCCAGCGACTTCGGAGGTCCTCAACGACGTTGCGGCCTCCTCGACGCCTGGAGCTACGTGAGGCGACGATGCGGAGACTTCTCGCAGGGAGAGATTCTCATCGCCCGATCTTGCGTCGCGTCCGATACTACCTGCACGTTCTTAACTACTGTCGCGAAAAATCAGTCGATTTTGACAGCGTCATCCCTTCTCGCCAATCCAGTGACGCGATCCTCTTCCTCGCAAGGATTTTCCTCTTCCGAACTGTTGTCTCAACTCTGACACGTTGGTCCACACTGTCGCGATCGAGGAAGCAAGCGATTGCCCGCCGATTGCATCTTACATCGGGGAGACAGCAAATCTAAAGTGCGGGTGTGCGGATGTGCATCTCTCGACGCGCCTGTCCGCTGTTTCTCTCACCTGCGCTTCTCACCTAGGGATGTAGCGAGCGCGCAGTAACCTTGCCCCGGTATCGCGGTGTCCCCGGAAAATGAATGCGCGCAAATTTCACCACGAGGTCATACGCGAGGTTCTTCTTTTCGATCGAGAGAGAGAGAGAGAGAGAGAGAGACAGTCGGTGGCGTGATCAGATCCAGAAAAAAAGGACACGCGTAAAGCGCGTGGTCGAGAACTGATCAACCGCACCACCACCACCACCACCGCCTTTTTTGTTTCTAGCTATCCACCACCTGGATCCGTAATTTATTTCTCTCCAGGTGCGGCTTCTATTGACCGCGATGTCGGTCGCGCGGACACTAAACGCGGACTGTCGTCCGCGAGTGAGCGATGTTCGCGGACGTTGCACGGCACGGTGGTGGTAGCAGCTGAACGCCGCGCGATCGCGGCCGGATTCAACGACGACGACGGTGCCCGACGCAGCGTCGACCGGTGACTGAAAAAAACGTCGAACATCCTCGACGCCGACGATGATGGACGCATGCGCGACCCCGGCGTGTTCGTGTCCCTCGCCTCATCCGCGCGTCTCGCGACCTCCAACATCCTCTCCCCCGGAGAAAATCCGGAGATCTTCCTGCTCTTTCCCACCTCTCCCACGCTTCCCGGCCGCGCGCACCATCTTCTTCTCCTCCACTTCTTCCTATTTCTCCCGGTTGGTCGACCGAAGCTCCTTCACGACTGGCACTCGGAATGAGCAAGACGGAAGGAGAGATAGAGAAAGAGAGATAGACAGAGGGATGGAGCAGTGAGACTGAAGAGGATCTGGCAAAGTCCTTGAGATCCTCGCTTTCACTTTCGGTGTCGACTAAATGGCACTTGTGCTTTTTTTCGCGCCATCATTTGCTGCGGGAGTGCTATCTCTCTTATCGACACTTCGACGTCCTAGGCTAATTGATTAGGGTTACGCACAACACATCGCGTGATCGGCACCGCGGCTATTTCTCCAGGGGTGCAGGGGCGCAAAAAGCGATCGAGCGGAAAGTAAGTTCAGCGAAAGAGAAGTTCCTTCCTTCGGGTTGCGCCGAATAATGGAGAAAAGAGCAAGGAAGGGGAAACATCGATAATTCTTGAGGGTGTAGTTGATAGATGATTGTTCGACGACGCATAATCGAAAGGTTGAATTTTATTCGATAAAGGCGATAAAAACTCGTGACGATTTCATTTTTACAGCATCAATTTTAATGTTTCAAGATAACGACAATCTTCAGAAAATATTTCTCGATCCGTGCTTGGTGCGCTGAAAGAAACTTTGCTAAAAAAAATAATGCGTTACACAAATAGAAATTCGCTTTTCAAAAATAGAAACGACAAATTCTACCAAATTAGGTATACAACTTACGTCGCGACAATATTGTTATTTAAAAGTTATTAATAATTAATAAATGATATTATAATCATTCGTTAATATGAATGGAATTTCTTCATTAAAAAAATTTAATTAAAATACGTACTTATACATTTTCACACCTAACCTAACATTTTTATATGAATTGTTTAAAATTGCTATTCTAAAAAATCTTTCAAGAAAATAAACGTATATATTTAAGTGCTACGAGTTTTAAAAGAAATAAGAAGAGCTTTATATTAATTTTATAATTGTGCTGTACTAATTGAAATGTGATTAATTTTATATAATAATTTGTATCATTTAATATTGCATTAACATATATATATCGCGCAACGAAAAGCAGATAGCAAATTTTGATCTTCTACGCACTGCTATTTTCTAACGAAATTTTTGATGATATGACGGGGTTAAAACTGAAACATCATAACGCTCACCGAGACTGACTTATTATACACTTCGTCTATTTTTGTTCGGAAATCGGACGAAACGAAGAAGGCGCAAACCGCGTGTATATCGCGCTGTTACGTGAATATTCGAAAATAAAAACGACAAGTTAGCCACGGCGATAATCAATCGATACTGGATACGCGATTAAAGTCAGCGTTATGCCCGGAAACGATCAAGTTCGTCGGAGATTACGAACGCATCGTCGTCGACCTTAATCGGCTCCACGCGTGCAGCCGAAAATAGAAATCAACGCGCATGTTCCACATGTTCGGTCGTTTCAAGTGGCTGACATAATCTGCGAAATTTGATGTTTCGCGAAAGATGCTAACCGGGGATCTTGATATGAGAGAGAGAGAGAGAGAGAGAGAGAGAGAGAGAAAGAGATAGATAGATAGAAAGGAAAAGAGACGCTTGACATTCTTTTTGTACAGTTACGAATTTATTCAGAATAAAGATGAACGTTTACGATGCGACGTATAGCACAAACGCCGGATTATCGCGCAAAGTCATTGTATATCGCATCGTATACATCCCTATTGGATACATCTCTTTATTTGGCTGCGATACGTTATCGATCCGCTCGCACTTACGAATGCTACGATGACTCTCGCTACACCAATCTCTCTGCGGGCTAATATTGCATTATTTAACACGGTAAATCCTTTTTACGAGGGAGGAGCGCGCAAATGGCGCGCCGGGACACAAGTAGCAAGGTGACGTCAAATAACGTCTTAATGACGTTTCTAACGTCAAATAACGTCTTAATGATGTTCCTAACGTCAATAAAACGTCATTAAAACGTTACCTTGTTATTTGTGGATATACTTATATCGACAAATATTTTGGCGGAATCTTTCCTTCTTCCGCCAATATAAATTATGACGAGCGACCTAGACGTTCACAGTTTGGAAAATTCAGCATCATCCAATTGAGAAGCAAGCTCGCTAGAATTCGTAATCGGTACAGAACACGTATGACGTCGACACACTAAAACTGTCGCTCGGCCCTTCTGCGGCTTCAGTTTGCTGACGACCGCGTTCTTACGTAACAACACGTTGTTCTGTTGCTCGGGATCGGCTAACAGAAGCACCCTACCTGGTATCAGACGCTCGCGGATAACGCTCAGCATCTCGATTGTATCTTCAGTGTGCGGTTTCCCCGCAATATAAATCTGGAAAAAAACCCACACTCTATAAAGAGCTTGCTAAGAATATTTCTTGGCGGAAACGCCAACGTCTTAAATTCGCACACATCGTCAACGGCAGAAACGGAAGACACATACCTGCGTTGTGTTGTGATACTCGAGCAACGCTAACGTCAATTGTGGAAACATAATTGGCATCTCTGCGAGTCCTTTACCAAATGCGCATAGAAGCCGTCCAGCTTTAGCTTTGAACTCGCTACGATCCAGGTATGCCGCCAATCGCAATAAATTAGAGCATGCGATAGAATTACTGGATGGTTCCGCGCCGTCGTGAGCTGCAATCAAATTCATTAAACATTAGATATTTTCAATAGCTTTTTAGTATTTCGTGACAGTTCGTGACTAACAGAAATCAGCTTGAAATTTCGCAATAACGTCGCAATTCACTTTTCTAATTCGCTAATTCGGAAACACTGCATAAGATCTTAATCTACATCATTTCTTACTTTGAAAATATGAATCTGATTTTTATATCTTTCATATTTTGACTTCAAATTCCTTTCTCTTCGAATATATCAAGTTAAGGCAATGTTGAACGTGCGATATAATAACCAAATTGTAATGAGAATTCAGCAAAAGCCATAAATATTTAAATGTGATGATCTTTATGGCGGAATGCGGTTTTGCGTTCGATCTCGTTTACTCGACGTAACCGCCGCGCATTAAAGAGTACCTTCCCGTTTAATGGCCGAACTAAAATTACCACAGAAACATGCCGTACCGTCTTTCATCCGTAAAATCATCTGAGAATTCTCAACTGTGGAAAAGTAACCGCCGTCTCGCGAATCCCAGAACAATCGGTCTTGAATATCTTGCAGCTCCTCAGCAAACTCGAGCCAATGCTCATCGAAATTGACCTCGTACAGATCGAGTAATCCTTTCACGACGAATGCGTAATCGTCATGGAAACCGTGAATCGGAACGCTCCTATAAATCATATCGTAGATTCAATCTCACAATGTGTGACATCGACACTGAAATAAGACGTCTATTCTCACGTTTGCATAATTCTATCGTCCTCTCCACGATAACAACTGCGAAGTAGCACGCTTTTATTTTTATCAAATAAATATCGCTCTACAAATTTGGCAGCGTTCGTCGCTAATTCGACGTATTTGTCGTTTCTCACAGCTGCTCCAGCACGCGCAAAACCACTTATCATAAGACCTGTAAATAGATTGTTAGACTTTGTCGAACACATTCGTCGCGATGACGAATGTTTTCATCATTCATCATCGACATCGATTGACCACGATTCATTACCATTCCATGCCGTGACGATCTTATCGTCCAAATGGGGCCGCGGTCTCTTCGATCTTTCTTCAAACAAGATTCGACAGGCCTCCTTAATATAATTTTTAGTATTCTCTACACTAATGTCAAAATGTTCCGCGGTTTGTTCTATGCCATCATACACAATAAATACATTTTTGCCGGTAAGTTCGCCATGAGGATCCTACACCGCCAAATAAACATTCGCAAACTTTACTTTATAAGTATCTCTTATTTTATAACTTCGATACTAACTTACGTTAGATATCTAACGTACTTGAGCCTTTCGCACGTTTCCCTCCTTTCTCACATTGAAGTGATAACAGACAAGGTCGGAAAATCGAATATTATTGTTACCAGATACTTTCTTATCTAAAAGAGCTTTAACTTCCTTGTAAGTCCAAACATAAAATGCGCCTTCCCGTTTCGCTAAAGCCTGTGGCTCTGGAAGTGAATCGGCGTCCTCTGCACTGTAGAAGCCACCTTCCTGAAGAGCATACATGATATAAATATTTATATTCTCCTAAGTCCTTGTTGCTATCACATCTATGAAAATTAAGCAAAAATATGAGTAATATGTGTAATACCTTGTGTCGCAGATCACGCGCGACATATGTTGCAATATCGTCTACAATATCGGAATAGAATGAATGTTTCGTGACGACGTAAGCGTCGGCGTAGGCTTGTATTAATTGGGCTTGATCGTAGAGCATTTTCTCGAAGTGAGGAACGTGCCATTCGCCGTCCACAGAATACCTGGAGAATCCCTGAATACGACACATTTGAAATAATTTAACTCGCACATAACAATCGTGAAAGAGTAAAGAAACGGTCTTACTTGTCCCACGTGATCGTGAATTCCACCGTGAGCCATCTTCGTCAGGGTATGCAGAGACATTTCTAAACATTGCTTACGCAACTCGGAGGAGGTACTTAGAGCATATGTACTGAAGAGAAAATTAAAATTGACAGGTTCGGGAAATTTCGGCCCGTTCATCCTGGGTCTGCTGCCAAACCCGCCAAATTTCGGCTCGTATCCGTTCGCCAAAAGATGAACGCATAACAAAGCACATTCGGCCGAGGGAAATCCATCACCAATCTGCAAAATTGCGAAAATTGAATAAATCAGAATCGAATAAAAGCATAATGTATATAAAAATGTTTTATCTCTCCAAATCTTTAAATCTCGCTCACTTTTAAGCCTTGTCTGCATTCGACAATATCCTTTAGGCGTTCTACTATGTTAGCAGTGGATTTGATTATGTTGCTCTTTTGCTGCGCCCACTATAATAAAGAAATCATTTATAAGCCTAATTTATCGGGATAAGAATAAGATTTATACATGACAAATTATAAATGTAAATTCTCTCGACACATGCTAACGTAAGAATATTTATATCGAATGTAAAACCCGGTCTACAATGAGTCGTTAGTCGTTAGTCGCAAGCAAATTGACCAACCACAGTCTATTATTCCAAGAATATTCTAGGAATAATCAACTGTGGTTGGTCAATTTGCTTGCGACTAAAGCCCGTATCAGACTACACATTGAAGATTCAGATTGAAGACTCAAGATTGAAATTTGACCAATCAGAATAAAGAAATTTTAGTCCCTTTTTTTCATTGGTTGAATGGGATCTTAAGACGACCCAAGACCACACTTAAGACGATCTTGGATATAAGAACGGACTATGAATACCGGCCATTGTAGACCGGGCATAAGTATCGTGCTTTTTGCACACCTCCTTCGCAACTCCTAACAAGAGCGATTTAAATCCTATAAGGCCATATTTGTCATCTGGCGGGAAATATGTTCCGCCCGTCACTGGCGTTAAATCCGGCGATAGGAAAACACTCATTGGCCAACCACCATGGCCCGACTTTGCCTGTCAAATACAGATATATATATATATTTCTATCAATATATAGTTAGTACATTTTACATAATTATACGTAATATGTTTCATAAATTCAATATTTTTATATTGAATTAATATATTTATAATTAATATATTTATAGTAAATGTTGAATTTTTTATCAATAAGCTAAAAAATATCAGTTGTATAAGTAGGAGATATATAATTTGCTATCTATTTTCTTACTTCGCGTATGAAAGGCAACAATCAACAATTATTCCGATAACACGTACCTGAACAAACGTCATATATATTCTGTCGATATCGGGCCTCTCTTCTCTATCCACTTTAATATTAACAAAATTCTCGTTCATGATTCGCGCGATGTCTTCCTTTTCAAATGATTCCTTCTCCATCACATGGCACCAATGACACGTGGAGTAACCGACTGATAAAAAAATCATTTTATCCTCCTTCTTCGCTCTTTCTAAAGCTTCATCACCCCAAGGATACCATTCCACGGGATTAGTCGCGTGTTGCAGTAGATACGGCGACTTTTCCAAGCTCAAACGATTTAATTTCTTTACACTAGAATGGCTGGTGTTTTTAGCGCTACTCTTGGATGTCGATGCCATTCTGACGGATGATAACAGGAAATTGCGATTTGATCTGTTTCAAACATATTTGTTAATATAAACTTTAAATTGTAGAATAGAAATGTAGCAAATATAAACTCGATCGCTTTATTAACAACAACATAAAAATTACTAGCTCTGAATGAATTGAGTTTAAAAAAAAATTTATTTTTCATCTAACTTGAAATAACTCACTTAATGAAATTATTTAATAAATCTTGATCTAATTAGCTTTAAAGTTTTAAATATTTAACAGTTGCGGAAAAATATCGCATATATTTAAATCCATATTGAGAAACAGTCTTTGCACAAATTTATTATAGCGTATGTTTCTAAAATCTAATTTAGTTTAATGCAAATCTCATGAGACGTTCCTTCAAATTATTAATGTTAGAAATTATTTACATGTAATCTTTGAGAGATCAGATATTTCTATATTAAATATGTAATAATTATGATAAATAATTGAATATATGATGGCATGTATGATTCGACCTGTTAATGTATTGTCCGACGACAGGAAGAAGGGTACTTTCAATCAAATGAAAACCCGTACGACACCCGTACTGCACCGTATTGCGCCGTTTCTTAGATATCTCGGACACGTAGCGGACTGTTGATAAAAGATTGCATCTTCCCGAAGTCATAACACAATTAGCATGGAGAGTATGCACTGCAATGATCGATCTTATATGTCATATCGCTGAATAATTATTAACTAGTTCAATCGAATAATTATTAAATGAGCTTAACATTATTATATTGTACATATCACAAGTTTTGTACAATGCTTCTTTCAATAAAAAATTTATTAAAGCAGACGTCAATTCTAGATTACCTCAATAAACGTTCACATATAAAAAAAATTAAGTTTGTTTTATTTATAAAATTAATTACGTAAATGTTTATAAGCTGATATGATATATTATAAAAGCACAACTTTTTAAATAAAAAGAACAAAAAGAAAATCTTTTAATTCTAGGAAAACCTACTTTGAAAAAAATCTTATATGTTTATATAACAATTGCGATCACGCGCAATTGCATGTTATAAATAAACATATAAATACCCCAGACAGCACATGTTCCTAAAAGACGACTTAAAGATGTCTTATCCTTTTTTTAGACATCTTTAAGATGTTTTTTGATCTTCTTGTTCTGTCTAAGACTATACAAATTTTTTTTATCGTTTAATCAATACTTTTCAATTGAAATAAAATAGTTATTTTTATTTATATATAAAGGAATATGCAAAAGCAGCACTACACTCAAGCTTAAAGTGATATCTTAAATTGTGCTCAAGCTTAAGATAAATGTAAGATCCTTTTTCTCTCTTATTTAAAAACCGCTTCTTTTAATATCGGTTCATTACAATATAGTGTGATTTAAATAAATTAGGCATATTATATATATTCAACTATTTCAATAAAAGTTAAAATATATCTATTTATATTCGGTCATATCTAGATAAAAGAATATTAAGTAAATATTAAAAGTAAAAAAAGAAAAGGGTTTATCTCATGGGAGAAACAAGTATTTTAGAGATATTAAAATAAGGATTATGTAGTACACTACAAACATTGAAAATCGAAGTACGTTTTCTAATAAAGACTTAAAATCTGTAATCAAACTTAAGATCGCGAATTATGAGACACAAGTATTTTAGAAATATTAAAAAAGAGATTATATAATACATTACAAACATTGAAAATCGAAGTGCGTTTCCTAATATAGAATTAAAATCTATAATCAAACTTAAGATCGCGAATTATGGGACACACGGTACATGCCAAGTAAAAAAATGGCAGATCTATATTCTACGCAGCGATTATCGCGCCATGAATCGGCGATATTCTCGGGCATAATCGGCCATCGCGAAAATCGTCGAATCAAATCTAAAAAGCGTTAAATTACTCAGCCCCGTGCGAGATTAGATAAAATTTAATATCCGCCGATAAAAAACAACATATGTGCGTACATACAGAGTTTGCAGCGTCTGATTCGGTAGAGATCCGTGTTCCTCGAAATTTTTACTGAATTACACTGCCAGATGGCGCGTCAATTAATTCCAGCGCGCTTTTACAATATATGTACGCATTAGAGTTTTTACAATACGCACGAAATCACATAGGAAATCAGGAAACATACTACAAATTGTCATTATAGTGATATTTTATCGTATAGATTTAAATTAACATGAGTGTGAGATCTCTTTTTCTCATCATTAGATAATAAAAAAGCATAATGAAAATGAAAAAAAGTCATGTGCAATGTTGATCGAAAAGCTTTCTGTTAAAAAATCGTTATATTATAATATCACAATATTATTTCGACCGGACATATGTATATAAAAAAATCAGCCACTTATCTATTAGCTACTTGATATATAAAACGTCAAATATCATATATCATACAAAATCATTTATTTTATTTAAAAATATTTTTCCCACTAGATGGCTCGTAAACCATGATATATGTATAGTATTCTCGTTATTCAAATATACCTAAATGTTGTATAAAGATCCTTAATATATGATCGATGTTGGGGCGATGTAAATGTGCTGCAGAGGCTATGATATGTTTGAATCCTCGGATCTCAATAAGCGGTGTTTACAGGAACAACTTATTCTTCGCTCCAAAATTATGTTACCATCATGCATGTATACCGACTGTTAAATTTTGAATATTATTCTTGCATTTATATCATTTAAAACGTCGAAAGCGCAAAGAGAGATCAAACCAAAAACGAACGGAAGCTATAGAGAGTGGAAAAGAAGAAATCATCTAACCTGGTGTAATAGCGATGACGTCTTAGTCGGAAATATCCACATCTTAGAATGACAGCTACGTCTCTCGCGGTCAACAGATCAATAAACATCAAAGAGGTAAAACACTAGCCACGTGCGTCCACAGCTGTCATGTACTATTTACATTTCCAGAAGCTCCAAAAGACCAAGCACTCGTCGTGCGTGCTCCGAAAATATCGAATGACTGTAAATCAATACATAATAGATATAGACTAGATAAACAAATATTACATGGACTACGGCTGCGGTCCGAAATACGCTCACAGCGCTATTAGCGCGCTGCCAGCATAGACATATAGAATGGACTGAGCGTTGCGATAGACAAACGCGCGCTCGCTGTAGAAAGAGAGATACTATATGGGAGGCCTATTTTGTCTCTTTTTCTATCATCTCATTGGTGATTTTGTCCCCCTCCATATAGAAAATTACCAATAAGATGCCAGGAAAAGAGACAAACATAGGCCTCCCATATAGTACCTCTCTTTCTACAGCGGGTGCGCGTTTGTTTATCTCGCAATGCTCAATCCAGTCTATATATCTATGACTGCCAGCTATAGTGCCGTAAACTATAGATTTTCAGTACTGTGAGCGCTGTGAGCATAGACATAGTATCTAGACCGAGCATTTGCCTTTATTTAAGGAGTGGGAGTACAGATGCACGTAGAAAAGGACATACTCTGTTTTGTGCCCCTTGCGTTCTCTCTCGCTCGCATGTAGCATAGCGTACTCTTTCGCTATGCTACATGCGAGTGAGAGAAAACGCAAGGGGCACAAAACAGAGTATGTCCTTTTCTACGTGCACCTTGGCCCCCACTCCTCAACACTCAGTCTAGATATATTATGTCTATGGCTGTGAGCGTATTTCGGACCGCAGCCTACGTGAAGTCTTCGTGAGTTCCGAAATACACTCTTCTGTGTTTCTCTCATAGGGTGCGTTCAAGAGACACAACCGTTGAGTAGCAATCGAATGTGATTGGTTCTTACTTCTAGTACCAACAAATCAACGTCGAGTATTGACAAGACGATGCTCAACAGTTGTGTCTCCTGAACATGCTCATAGATAGATCTACAAAATTCGAAATTGTTTAATGTAAAAAAGACGAAAACCACCTTTTGAAAGATATAAAAAATTCGCACGCAATACGCAGTTTTTTTTTATATATGAATAAATATATATATATA